CGCCTCGTCGTCTCTTCGAGCCGGGCAGTCGCGCTATCTGGCTGCCCCGTGCCTTTGCCGAGGCCTGGGAACCAACGGCCGCAGTTAGAGTCGGTGAGCGTGTGGCCGCCAGCGGTCGCGACCGACCTTAGCCGTGGCCACATCGACGAGGCCGCCCCAGCCAAGTACCAATCGTCTGCGATGCCCGTGGTCGCGAGGGCATCTCCTGGTCGCGCTGGCCTGTGGGCCGCCAGGACGTCGCGCACCATGCGCGCGGCGTGGAAGAGGAAGGCGGGCTGCATCCGCCGCGACCCTGCGCCCCCTCCCCGCCAGCTCAGGGCGCGCCTTCACTCGTCCCCGACCTTCTGCCAGACGGTGTTGAACGCGTTTCCCCAGTGCACGAAGAGGAGGAGCGCGACAGCCGGCTCCGCGTTGAAGACGTCCTGCAAGACGACGCTCCTCAGCATGGCCCCGTAGGCGTTCATCCAGTCGAGTTTGACAATGGCCTCTGGCGATTGCCCCTGCGCTGGGGACTCGAAGCGCCGCGCCCAGCCCCTCAACGTCCTGGCAACAATGGGGCACCCATCCGGCGTGAGCCCTTCGCCACTTCTTCTGCCTCCGGCCGGGTGTTGCTGAAGGCGACGTCTGGCCGGCAACTTTTACACTTGCAACTACTTTCTCGGCCTCCGGCCGAGGGCGTCTACGGCATAGGCACCGTGTCGCCATCAACAACAACAAATCCGGCGTGAGCCCGAGATTGACGGACTCCAGGCGGCGCCGGGCTGTCAGGACCCTGCTGGCGAGCGCGGCCGACTCGGCAAACTTGATGAGGTGCTCGAGCAGGGCAGTGCCGCGAAGCTTGCGCACTCGAGCTGCGTCGGGCCTGCCGCTGGCCCCCCTGGTCGATGGGCTCCAAGACGCCCGACCCCCACGGCACTGCGTCCTCCTGCGTCCACGCTGCAGATGCGGACAGGCTCGCGTATGCTGCAAGCGCACCAGCTCCACCATGCGCCACTGCAATCTCGACAGTGAGCCCGGTGCGCCAGCCGCTCGGCCCAAGAGCCGCGTGCAAGTCGAGAGCAAACGCAGTCCAGTGCGCATCCGGGCACCTTACCACGAGGGGCGCGACAGCAGAGTCCGCCCGGTAGCGGTCGAGGAGCGCCAAGACCTCCGCGCACTCCTCGGCAGACGTGGGCATGGCTGCTAGCCTCGCCATGGCTTCCGCGACAACCTCATCCCGCGGCACCCGCGGCGCGCCCTCCACGTGCGGCATGGCCCTGGACACGCCCCTCTCCTTCACCGTGCGGATGATCCTGTCGTACTCGCCCTGGACGTCGCTCCCTGGCGGCCGCTGCCTGGGCGGCCCCACCGCAGGCCCAGCAGCAGCCCGCTCGTCCACCGCTGCCTCGTAGAGGCCAACTAGCTCACCCCAGCGGCCCAGCTCTGTAAGCTGCATGCGCCGCCGCATCTCGCCGTGAAGGTGGCTGCCGCCCGACCCCCTTCCGCCGGCGCCCTCGCGTCCCCTTGGGCCTCGTCCTCCTCCTCCTCCTCCTCCTCCTCCTGCGGGCACGCGCACGGGTGGAACAGCAAGGTCGGGGCAGCCCGCAGCTTCAGTGAAGCACGCCGAGTTTCGACTGGGTCAGTCTGGGCACCGCGCCCGCACGCCTCTACGACGCCCTTGAGCAAGGAGATGCATTTCTTCGCCGCACACACGCACACACGCGCACACGCACACACGCACACACGCACACGCACACGCACACGCACGCGCGCACGCACACGCACACGCACACGCACACGCACACGCACACGCACACGCACACGCACACGCACACGCACACACACACACAACACGCACGCGCACACACAACACACACAGACACAGACACACAGACACACAGACACACAGACACACACAGGCACACATTCACACATTCACATACTCGCACATTCACACATTCACACAGACACACACAGACACGCATGCACGCACGCACGCACGCATGCACGCACGCACACACAGACACACACACACACACACTGTGCGTCGGCGGCCAGGGGCGGGGGCGTAAGTGGGATGCATGAAACGCGAATTCAGCCGCGATGCGCGGGGGAGGGAGGAGGGGCCTGGCTCACACATACACATTCACACACGCACGCACGCACGCACCCACGCATTCACGCACGCACGCACGCCCACGCGCTCGCACACGCGCACGCGCACGCGCTCGCGCACGCGCACGCGCACGCGCACGCGCACGCGCACGCGCACGCGCACGCGCACGCACACGCCCACGCCCACGCCCACGCCACGACCACGCCCATGCCCACGCCCACACACACGCCCACGCACACGCACACGCACACGTCCACGCGCACGCACACGCACACGCGCACGCACGCGCACGCGCACTCGCACACGCACGCGCACACGCCCGCGCACACGCACAGGCACACGCACGCGCACACAGACTCGCACACACGCACACACACAGACACACACAGACAGGCACACACAGACACACACACAGAGACACACACACACACGCACGCCAGAGGGTTGGCGGGACTTCTCGGAGGTCCGCGCGGATTTGTTGGATCGGCGCTTGAGGCCCGTGGCGGCGCCTCCATCGCAGCCCCTGGCGCGCTCCGCGCGCCAGGGATGCGGGGTTCAGCACCGATCCGCGACATCGAATTGCGCGGACCTCCAAGAAATGATGTTTGTATCTCATTGTTGGTTCCTCTACGCTAGGGGGGGCATCGTCCCCAGATCGCCCGTTGATCGCCGGCAGGGGCTCGATAGGCCATCCGCCCACGAACGTGCGGAGTTTCGAGGGAGAAACATCGCCTTGGCGATCCGCACGGATTTCTCGGATCTGCGCTGGCCCCCCCCCCGGCGCCGCCTCCGGCGCCGCCCCTGCCGCGCTCCGCGCGCCAGGGAGCGGGGTCCGGCGCGGATCCAAGAAGTCCGCGCGGAGTTCCAGCAGTCTGTGCTTATGTGGTTTTTTGCTCCTCCAGAGTTGCCGTCGAGGAGCCCACGGCGGGCAAGGCAATGTTCGGGGGACATGGGCCCCTGATCGCCCACGCGTCGCCGACAGGGGCCCGACGGCCCACCGTGCCAAGGTACGTGCCGTTTCGGTATCGGTGGGCCCCTATCGTTGAGTCGGGCATGCCTCTCTGCAGGAGGAATATCCAAGAATAGTTTGAGCATGAGTCAGGGGACGATTTTCCGTGCCGTGTTGACGATGTTTGATTTTTGGTCGACGATTTTCAGTTTTCCTTCCAAAAGGCGCCGGTGGGAGGACATCCGACCTAACACCGTCGCTGGTTCCAGTTCGATGCTGCTCCCCCCCGAGCTGGTCCTCCCCCCGAGCTGGTCCGCCCCCCCCCCCCCCGCATCGTTGCCCCTCAGAAGCGGCATGGGGCAGAGGAACGGGGGGCGGTCCACGTCCCTTGCCTGGGGGGGCGCAGGGCCGAGTCAGGATGATCAGCGCGGATCAGGCCGAGGCGGCTGCGCCCCCCCCCCTCCTCCTCCTCCTCCTCCTCCTCCTCCTCCTCCTCCTCCTCCTCCTCCTCCTCCTCCTCCTCCTCCCCGCTCTCCCCCCAGGGGCCGTTGAGGAGTGCGAGGGTGACGATCGAGGACGGGAGCGCACGGCACGGCCATGCACCGCCCGAGGTCCGCGCGGAGTTCTCGGGTCGGCGTTGGCCCCCCCCCTGGCGGCCGGCTGTCCGGAGGGCGCGCGTCCTGGCCGGGCCAGGCTAGGCCGCGTCGCGAGGAGGAGGAATAATTGGAGGAGGGGGGAGAAGGAGGAGGAGGAGGAGGAGGGGGAGGAGGAGGAGGAGGAGGAGGGAGGAGGAGCAGGGGGAGGAGGAGGAGCAGGGGGAGGAGGAGGAGGAGGAGGAGGAGGAGGAGGAGGAGGAGGAGGAGGAGGAGGAGGAGGAGGAGGAGGCAGGCCGCGTCGCCGCAGTCCCGGCGAGCCGCGGCCCGCGGCGGTGCCACGAGTGCCCGCGGGCTCGCGCCAGCGCGCGGGTGCGCGCGGCTGCTCGGGCCGTCGCCTCCTGCTGGGGAACGGCGCAGCGTCGATGCCCGGGGCCGCAAGAGTCGAGTAGGAGATTGGCGACAGATTTGCACGAAGGAGATGATGGGCACGGAAAGAATGGGTACGATGCCCAGCAGCAATTCCTGTTCATTTTGAACAGGACTCGCTGTCCACGCCGCCGCGGCCTGTGTCCATCTGGGACAGAAGGCCGCCTGCCCAACAGCGGCCGCTGTTGGTTTTGGACAACATTTGTTGTTGGGCATCGTACCCATTTTTCCGTACCCATTTCGGGCGTCCGAAACAGAATTGATGTGCCCCAGAGTTGTTTCGCATTGCATCTATGAAGTTTGTGGAAGTCGATTAGTAAAGAGGAAGCATGTTGCCAAATCATTTCCAGATGTCGAAAAGATGTGTCAAGCATTTTTATAAAGATGTCAAGCACATGTTTGACACATGTTTAGAACATGATTTACACATTTTAAACACATCTTTAATCCAATGATGATATTGTTAGAGTGTCCATTGTCGTGGCATCCACAAGATGAAGCGGACGTCGGATCTTCGCAGATCGACCGACAGGATGCGACTATTCCGCAGATCCTATGAGCCATCCAGTTTGGTGTACATCAATGCTGTAGTCGATCTTCTGTCAAAGAAGAAGTGCGGGCTCGGGCGTGGCTCCGCGCTTTGGTTGGGAGGACCCCCTTAGTCGAGCACTGGCGAAGCGTCCTGGCTCGCCTATAGGCCCACCAAATGATGTTCTGATAACATGCCTTGGTCTGCACGAGATGTTCTTAGAACATTTCTGGCCGGGGCTGGCCTGCTTTCACACGTCTGGCTTGTGTTTTTCGACCATGCTTGGGTTCTTGGAAGATGTCGTGGCAGGCCTATATGAATATGCCGGAACGCTCGGTCCCTGCTCGCCGCCCGGGGCCAGAGCGCGCCCCGGGCTGCCGCCGCCGCCCGAGTGCGGGCGCGCAGGGGCTGTGGCAGCTGCTGGCCGCAGGGGACTTCGAGGCGCTGGCGCCCGCGTGCGAGGAGCCGCGCGCGAGCTGTCTCAGCTCGGCTCTCGCCGGCCGTTGACAGTGCAGTGGAGGCCCATGCCAAGAAATACCCTGTGTGCCCTGGGCTTCGTGGGTTTCGATGGTTTTGCCATGGACAGCGCGACGTTGCCACACCAACAGGGCATGGACGTCCCGGGGTCTCAGGGTTGGGTTTCCTGTGGACTGTTTCTTCTGGGCTGACCTCCGCTGTAGGTATTTGTGGATGCCCAGATCCCACTCTGCTTGAGTGTCGAAGAAGAAAGAACGCCATAAACATAAACCTTTGGCGCTCCGCGCGGATTTCTTGTATCCGCGCCCCCGGCGGCGCCTAAGGCGCCGCCCCTGGCGCGCTCCGCGCGCCGGGGGGGGCTCCAACGTAGATCCAAGAAATCCGAGTGGAGCGCCAAGAGTTTATGTTTGTGGCGTGTTTCCCCCTTCTTTTCCTACTTCAATGATCGAGTGGTTGTCCCTTTTGCCTCCCGTTCAGGTGGCGGGCAGAGACCCTGTCTAATTTGAACGCCTTCCTACTTGAGGTGTCTGCCCGCTTCTTCCGACCGACGGCTATCCTAATGTTCAGGCGTCATGTGTGCTACAGGTATCGCATTTAGTGAGGCTCCATCGGCAGGGACTGAAGAGATGTGCGTGTAGGTGGCCCTTGCGGTCAAGCCGAGTCCAAAGCAAGACAGTTTGTCGATTAGATGTTAGCCAGTGTGGGCCCCAAACAGTGAGTTGTTGCACCACCTGTGCAGGTGAACTATATACAGTGCAGGCTATCTGGCGTATTTCATGGTGTGCAGGTTCTGCGGTGTGAGCTATGTGCACGCTATGCGGCATGAGTTATATCGCCTGATCTAGGTGGTGTGCGAGCTGTATGGCCTAGACGGTGCTGTGCGAACTATGTGGCCTCGGGCCTCGAGCCTTCTCTTCGGCCTCCCGCTTCGGCCTTTCTCCCTCGTCGGCGCTGCCATGCCGCAGGACGTTTCACTCTTTCACCGCTTCGCTCCGCGATGCCCTCCTGGCCCTCCCTGCGCGCGGCGCTCCGTGGAGCCGCCCCGCGGGGCGGACGCCCGTCGGCCCTGCGCTGTGCGCTGTGCGCTTGCAGGCTGCGCGGTGCGGGCTTTGTGCTGCCGGCGCGCGACTCGGCCACGGGGCGGGCAGAAACCTCGGGAGGGAAGCCCGCCCGGCCCACGGGCGGGCACGCACACGCACGCCCACGAGGCGAGGCGCGCCCGCGGGAGCCGCAGCCCCCCCCCCCGCGCACGGGGGCGCCCGCGATGGGCGCCCGCGGCGCGAGCACGGGCGCCCAGCGAGGCGAGGGCTCCTCCCTCCTCCCTCCTTCCTCCCTCCCTCCCTCCTCCCTCCTCCCTCCTCCTCCTCCTCCTCGTCCTCCTCCTCCTCCTCCTCCTCCTCATCATCATCATCATCCTCATCCTCATCCTCATCCTCATCCTCATCCTCATCCTCCTCCCTCTCTCTCCTCCTCCTCCTCCTCCTCGTCCTCCTCCTCCCTCTCCTCCTCCTCTTCCTCCTCCTCCTCCTCCTCCTCCTCCTCCTCCTCACGGGGCGCCGCCCCCGCGCGGGAACGGGCGTGCCACCGTGGCGCTGGCCCGGGAGAGGCAGGGAAGAGCCATGGCCTCCAAGTGCAATGGCCTCCAAGTGCTTTTCGTCGGGGTCTCCGCCAGCTCCGCGGTCTCGCGGCCAACAACTGGGCTGCAAAACCACCCGTGGTTGCCATGGAAAATGCGCGCGGCGGGACGTGGCCGACTGGGCCGAAACGCCGTGCCACAGGGAGGAAACGCACAAAACCCACTGGGCGGGGAGCAGACGCGCAGCAGCGGCATCCTCGGGGTTTCTGGGCCGCGAGCCGACCGAGGGAACGCCAGGTGCAATAGCCTCCAGGTCTCTTCGCTCCGCCAGCTGCGCGGTGGCTTCCCGCAGCCGTTGAAGAAGCTGCTGCGCTCGGGGCGCTCCCGGCTTCCCCCCAGGCGCGCTTCGCGCGCGGGTTTTTAGGGTTGGGCTTCTTGCGAGGGTTTCTTGCGGCCGCGCCCTCACTGTAACCTCCGAGTGCAATCTCATGTCTTTTTACGTGTCCCACGCCAGAATTCAGTGAACGCGATCCCCACCGGAGTCCCCCCCCAGGAATTCAGTGTCAACGCGGTCCGTGCGTGGTAGCCGGCTGGTTTGGGGATCCCCGCCCTCGCGCGGACTTCAACAGTCTACAGTAGGAAGCAGAGAGCAGGACTACTTGAAACTGCCTCAGGGAGCAGCACGCTTCGGCCTACAGCCTTGTGGCCCCACAAGGGGGGCGGGGGATGTATGCCTTCACGTGTGTACAAGTATCATACCTCATACTGGTCAGATGTATCACATATGGTGTATGTGGACCGTATGTCTGGTTTCCTCCTTGGAGGATCTGGCAAAGGGCTCCCGATGTACGCTTGATCCCGAGCTCCGGGCTCCTCTGACCCAGAGGCGCTCCTCTTCGCCATGCCTGGACACGGCCCGGAGAACTGGCTGGGGTGGGCCCGGACCCTTTTCGCTCTCTCCCTTCCCCTCCCCGCCCTCTGGCCCCGTCCCGCCTCCCTTTCCGTTCCTCCTCCTCTTTCCCTTCCTCCTCCTGTGTATCAAGCAGCGGCGAAGCGTCCTGGCTCGGCTATAGGCCCACCAAAGAATGTTCTGAGAACCTCTCGTGGTCTGCACGAAATGTTCTTAGAACATTTCTGGCCGAAGCTGTCTTGTTTTAGCACATCGGGCTTATGTTCTAAGAACACTCCTTTTGCTTTCAGAACAGTTTGGGGTTCTAAGAACATTTCGTGGTAGGCCTATAGCAATGCCGAGAGGGTCGGTCCCTGCTCAAGTGTACGCCGCTGCCCTTTTCGGATTCGTGTGACACGATGTGGCACCTCGTTGAAATTCCAGGTCCAGTGTGACGCGCCCGCAGACAGTGAACACACAGCGACAAAGGATGGGATGGGTGGAAGGGGTAGGTTCGGATGCAACTCCTGGGAGGTCAAATTCTGACTTCGCACTGGCCCGAAATCCGGTTTACTCCGATGTAATCACGCTTAATTCTTGTTGGTCTGGCTTAATTCTGTTTCATCCTGTTCAATCCCGCTGAATCCGCGGCCCAATTTCCAGCGTCAAGCCCCCCCTCCCTCCAATGGGCTTCCGCTCTCTTTAATCCTTCCGACGAAGACCTCCCAGCAGTTGCCTCCGAACTCTTTCCGCCCCTGCCAGGAGGCGGAGCTGGCGGTCCCGGCGGAGGTGGCGGAGGCGCCCCCCGTCTCCCCCCCCCCTGGGGGCAGGCCACAAGCTGGGCAGCGCGCGCCAGAGCCTCGGCTGCGCGCACCCCCGCCGTCGATCCCCCCATGGCAGCCTGGCGCCCCAGGGTCTTCAGCGCATCTTGCTGCTCGCGCGGGCAGGTGTCGGTGGGCCCTGATTCGAAGAGCAGACACCTGCATAAACATACACTTGTGGCGCTGAGAGGGCGCGGATCCAGGAAATCGGCGTGGGCCGTCACACGTTTATGCTTATGCCGTTGTTGTTGTTGTTGTTGTTGTTGTTGTTCGTAAGGACGTTACCTGGAGGCCCCGGGGGGGGAGGGAAACGGGAAACGTGGGGCTCCCTGTGGGGCCAGAGCCACGATCCTCGAGAGGTGTGTGCCGACATGAAGCCTCGGTGGGGCTCCCTGTGGGGCCAGGTTACGACAACTTCTATTATATTACTGGTAAAACGAACCCTCATAGTATTATTACGACTACCACTACCAATACCACAAACACTACTACTGCTACTACTGCAACTATTACTACTACTACGATTACTACTACTACTACTACTACTACTACTACTACTACTACCACTACTACTACTACTACTATTACTACTACTACTACCACCACCACTACTACTACTTCAACCACTACTTCTACGATTACTACTACTACTACTACTACTACTACTACTACGACTACTACTACTACTCCTACTACTATTACTACT